CTTTTTAAAAAAATTTAAAATTCAGCTTTAATTTTTAAAGCTGAAAGCTGAAAATCTCACCTTTTGTTATATAGCATTTTATATTTGATTGGACTGGTAAAATAAAAAGATCAGTATTGAGGACCATTCATCTTGTAAACAGTGTTTTTAAATTTTTTCTTATACATTTCCATATAGATTTATTCTTGGTCATTTAAGTGATAGGTATGCTTTTTTTTTCCATTTATTTTTATTCGTTGGAGGCTAATTACTTTACAATATTATAGTGGTTTTTGCCATACATTGACATGAATCAGCCATGGATTTACATGTGTTCCTCATCCCAATCCCCCCTCCCGCCTCCCTCTCCATCCCATCCCTCTGGGTCTTCCCAGTGCACCAGCCCCGAGCACTTGTCTCATGCATCCAACCTGGGCTGGTGATCTGTTTCACCCTTGACAGTATACTTGTTTCAGTGCTGTTCTCTCTGAACATCCCACCCTCTCCTTCTCCCACAGAGTCTAAAAGTCTGTTCTGTATATCTGTGTCTCTTTTTCTGTAGGTATACTTTTTATTTTAATTTTTTTCTCCTATAATCATGCCTACATTTTAATAATTAAATCTATGGCACTTGCTAAAATAGCTTCTGGAAAAGTTTAATGTGCTACATGCTGGTAAAAAGAGGCATAGCATTTGCTGATGTCGTTTAGCAGCCACTAGTAACGCAAGAGATAGAAAAAAAAGTAACCTGAGATATGTACTAATAATGGATTTGATTATACTAGCTGGGTTTTTTTTTCAGTATCATTTAAAAAGTTTTTGTTGTTCTATTTTTATTCAGATGACAGAAAGTAATTTTTCGTTGAAGAAGATAGAAATTAGTGTTTCAGAAGCAGAAAAGCGAACTGGAAGAAATGCCATGAACATGCAGGAAACATATACTGCTTACCTCATTGAAACAAGGTGAGTGATGAGAATTATGTCTGAAGTTAGAAAAAGCTTTGGTAGCTGTTGATGCAAATTCTGTTGTATAGTGGAATCATTTACAAGTCATTGTCTTTTTGTTTCTTTACTTTTTAACAGGTGACCAGGTTTTCTTTTACCCTGGTACTCTAGCTAAATTTGAATGTATTTGTTTTGGAGGGAGAACGAAGGTTACTGGATGTTACTTGGTGCTTGCTTTAGTGTCAAGTAACATCCAGATCCCATCCACATCACAGGCCTGCCCATGCGGGATACACGGGTTCATCCCTGTTTGGGAAGACCCCACGTGCCTCAGAGTAACTAAGCTCATGTGCCACAACTACTGAGTCTGTGCTCGAGAGCTCGGGAGCCATGACTTCTGAGGCCACGCGCCACAACTACTGAGGCCCGCCCCCTAGAGCCTGTGCTCCACGGCAAGAGAAGCCACTGCGCACCGCAGCTAGAGGAAAGCCCACGCAGCAGGGAGGACTCCGCACAGCCATAAGTAAGGTTATTTACTTCAGAAACTCACCAGAAAAGTCTTTTACTTCATAAGCAAAAAGTTAAATGAGTTAAACTGTTTTGTCCAGAGAAAAGCAAAGGGTGTGTGTGTGTGTGTGCAGTCATGTCTGACTCTTTGTGACCCACCAGGCTTCTCTGTCCATGGGATTCCCAGGCAAGAATACTGGAGTGGGTTGCCATTTCCTTCTCCAGGGCCTCTTCCTGACCTAGGGATCGGACCCACATTTCCTGCATTGTCAGGTGGATTCTTTACCACGGAATTTTGCTTATTATAAATAGTTTATATCAAGACTACACTGACAAGCTCTTTTCTGTGTGTGAGCTGAGAAGAAATACTTTCAGTTAAAACAAGTAGGGGGGGCTTTCCTGGTAGTCCATTAAGACTCCATGCTTCCAGTGCAGCGTGTGCAGGTTTGATCCCTGGTTGGGGAAATTAGATCCCACATGCTGTGCAGTGTGGCCAAAATATTTAAAAAAATTAATAAGAAAGTATAGTCCATATTTTTTAAAGAAAAGTAGAGGGACTTGCCTGGTGGATCAGGGAAGTATCCTGCCTGTGTACATACATGCATATGTATCAGAGACTTTTAAGTCAATTTTTAAAAAGTATGGTCCCATGAGAGGTTTTTTTTTTTTTTTTTAGTTTAATTAGCCATTTTAAAATATCATACTTTAGAAATTTGTATTGGCTCTAGCTTTTTAAGTAAATTCTTAAATTTAAAACTAAAAAGGATATTTTTAGTATATGCCTGTTTCTTCATCCAGTTCAACAATGAAATTAGCTGTTGATTAACTTTACTGCTAGAAGAACCTCTTGATTTCAATAATCTGGAATAATTTATAGCTGTTTACTCTATTTATTATAGTTGTTTACTCTTGACTTTGAAATGAATAGAGAATTATAATTCAAAAGTTGGAGTTAGAAGTGACCATACATGAGTAATATAGCTAGCCTCTGGATAAATATCTAGGAACATCAGTGAATAATGTGGTACACAAAAGAATATTGAGTTGACTGTCACACTTATATTTCATTTATTTTAAAACAGTGATTCTTAAACTTTAAAATATATAGGAATCAGCTGAAAAATTTGTTAAGCTACAGAATTTTGAGTGGGGTCCAGGAATTAACACATTTTAAGCTTAAGTTCCAGGTGTTTTTGAAGCAAATAAGCCATGGACCATAGTTTTATCTTTCAAATACAAAAGCTTTACATTTTAAGATAGTCAAATTTATCTTTTTTCTTTATAAGTTGTGTTTTCCCTGTCTTAAATTCTTGCGTATCCCATATCATATGCACATCCACTTTGAAAATTACTGTTTATAGATAGTTTATAAATAATTTTGTCAGCACTGTAACTGACCTTCAGCAGCCACAGAACCCTGGAATTTATTATTTTGGTCATGTAGAATTCTTGCTGTAATTCAGTGTTATGCAGAGTATCTTCGACACTATAAATATTGTTGAGCCTTGACATTGACTAAAAGTTCAACTTTATCACATAGCTCATCAGCCTACTCTGTGGACACATGAAGAAAGTCAGTTTAGCAGTTGCCTATCGTGTTACAGTTTAATAGGCTAAGGGTTAATAAGGCTAAGGTCATTGATTTTGATTTCTCCAGGGATTTCTATGTTTTGCTGTTCATTAAGTATGAACCCTTTTAAAATAGGTAAGAACACTGTGTGTATTAACAGGTAAGATGCCTCTTTTGTCTTGGGAAGCCGTATGATGTCTTTCCTGAATTCTTCTAATTTGTAAAGCAGGGCTAAAGATCCTGTATACTTTGTCATATTAAATGGTTTAAACGGTTACATTTAATTTAAATATTGCATGTGAAACCAATTATGTGCTGTTAAACATTTATTAAATAATTGGATAAATGGGGTAGTTTTGTGGTCCAAAGAAAGTCTTCTCTATGCTTTTAGGTGGCTTCCGCTGACTTCTTTTTGTGGGCTTTGAAATAAAACAAAGCAAAAACAACTTGTAACAGCTCTTCTAACAGCCTTTAGGTGTACTGCCTATAGGCTATATTTATCTACTTTTTAGCAAGATTTGGGCTCTGTTGGTAATAATTTTGAATAATTTGAAACTTGATATTAACCCAAGATATGTTTTTTTAGCTGAAGTCGAAAATCTGAATTAGAACAGTTTTAGTCAGCTAATGGTTAGGTCAACTCTTTAAAATGAATTATCATTTAATAATCCTGTATCTTGCCATGAAAACCATTTGTATATTTTGAATTTCATATTGTTTCCCTTTTAAATTAATATACAGTGAATTAATTTAGAAAACGATATATAAATAATAAAAACAATGAACATCTTGTGTTGAGCATGGTGTGGTGTATCCATTTTCTCGAGACTTTATTCTGAGACTGATTTAGCCTCTCTGCCTTTATACTGTACTTGCACAAATGCACATTTTGGTTATATGCATGTTTCTTGGAGGATCTGTAAGTTATTTTCTATTAGGAAATGGGAAGGTTCCAATAATGTTTAGAAGGCTGATGTTTTCTAATAGTCATTATGCTAGCAGAAATGATAAATAGTCAAAATAATTTCAAATATTATTTTTATGATTTTACCCAGCTTTCCCCCAAATTGAACTTTTATATGGATGACTCATGGCATTACCTGCAGCTCTTTATATTAAATATAAGACTAGAATTAATTTGTTACATCCCTTCTTGCCGCTCTTTGACAGTTTACTTTTGTGGATCTTTTCTGGCACTTGGATGCATCTGATTTTTTGATGATGTTAAATTGAGGATTTTTTTGGTGTCATGGTCTTTGGCATGAATGTTGTTCTGTCATTGTGGCAGGAGTTGTTCTTTCATTGTGAGAGTTAAAAGTACTTTTTTCTTTAATGAAACACTGGTGAAGCCAGACTCTTACTATATTATAAAGCCAGCCATTATGTTAACTGAATTATCTTATATTGAGGCTTTTGTTGAGAAGAATATTCCTAATATGACTATTTCTCTCAAGTTCAAATAGGTTTTCTATAATGGAGGAAAGTGGTTAGGAGTGAGGGCTTGGGAATCAGATGGATCTGAGTGCTCTACCCACAAATCTTTGTGATTGAAGGAAGAGCATATACCATGCAGCTGCTTTCTCATCTGTGAAATGGGGACAGTAATCCCTGCTTCACCAGGTTTGTTGTAGGAATTAAATAATACATGAAAAGTTCTCAGTGCCTGGTTCATAGCCCTCCTGGTTCATAAGCATTCAGTAAATGGAGTTACCAGTTTTAAAAGGAGGTCGTATGCATGCATTTGTATTTTTAAAAAACACTAGAAATCTTATTCTGTCTTTTTCAGGTCAGTTGAACATAGTGATGGTCAGAGTGTCCTAACAGACTCACTGTGGAGGCGGTGTAGTGCATTTGAGTGGTTGAGAAACTACCTTTTAGTTTACTATCCACATATTGTTGTGCCACCTCTACCAGAAAAAAGGGTAAGGAGTGAAGTGGTGGTGTAGTTTAGAAGTAGTTAGCATTGAGACTATTCTTCATGATTGTTTTGTTTATCTAGGCAGAATTCGTTTGGCATAAACTCTCTGCTGACAACATGGACCCGGATTTTGTGGAAAGACGACGAATTGGTTTAGAAAATTTCCTCTTGAGACTTGCTTCACATCCCATCCTTTGTAGAGACAAAATCTTCTATTTGTTTTTAACACAGGTATTTTTCTTTTATTTAGTCTTTTAAAAAATTTCATTTGACTTGGGATTTTTAAAATTTTAAATTGTGGAGTGCTTCTTCTTAAGGATTCTCTTGGAGCTGCCCTTTGTTAATTTATATGTATTTCATGGTTTGTTTTGAATTTCCAAAGTATTACATCATTCTTCTGGCTAACATTTTTATACTTAAAGATACTAAAGATTGTACTTTTTGGTATCACTTAAATGGTATGAAAGTTAGTCTTTAGTGTTTTGAATCCCAGATCTAGAAAATCTTGGGGCTGTCTCTGGTAATCTTTTGGAATCTGGATTGTATGTGTAATTTTGCAGTGAAAAGAATTCTTTTTTAACCCCTCTTCCCCCATCTCCCATGAGGGAAGAACAGAATGATGGGTATTTTATTTGGGATATTACTTATGGGCTATTTTACAGTGATATCTAAAGTTACCTTTAATTTTTAGGAAGGCAACTGGAAAGAGACAGTAAATGAAACTGGATTTCAGCTGAAGGTAAGGGTAATTGTATGAAATAATTTGTCATGTCTGTTAACAATTTCTAGCCCAGTGCCATGCGTTAATGGGTACCTGCTGTTTATTGGAAGTGAATGTTGTATGAGTGAATATTGGAAATAGGCTTTACAGCTAATATCACTGGTAAAGTTTTTAAAGAAACAATGCAGTTTATTTTTGATTGGTGTAATTTTTGTTACTAGTGAGACTATAATGGACATATTTATGTATGAATTTAATTCTCTTGGGAAAGAACATTTTGAAACAATAATTTAGGTGTAAGTTAGATTTTTCCCACAGTATGGTCATATTATGCTTTTTATGTTTTTTTCTTTCTTCTGTCCTTATCACGGTCACTGTCAGTGGTGTCCGCATAATTGCTCACTCTGTTAGATAGAAAAGACACTTCTAAAGGGTTGAACTTGGGTTTTCCTATCTTAGTAGGCTAAAAGAGTAGTCATCAGTCACGCTTATTTTGTATACTGAGACAAGGTGGCCAGTTTTGAGTGGGCATAGGATTCATTTTGTATCAGTGATATAGGTTTAATTAGATTTTGATTGCTTATCATATTTGACCATTAGAAGTTAGTGTTTGGGAATGGAACTGTTTCCTAAAAATTAAGGAGCGTGTCAGTCATAAGGTGACTGCCCTCACTCTGCTCTGCTCTCCCCTCCCTCTTGTTTCCAAAAGTAATTTAACATTGCAGATTTTTAAGTTTTCATCTCTTATGTAAACAGAATTAGGTAAGAAGAAAAAGTAATATAAATTGATATATAAGTTGATAAACAGTTCATATGATATTGCAATAACAGAAGTTCAGTAGATTTAGGCAGCAAGAACAGAATGTCTTTACAGTAATTTTAAGAACTAGAGATTAATGCATTGGCATATAGGTGTTTTAATTTTAACACAAAAAGACAGCAGAAAATGTTTTTTTCTTCACAGAAAATGTAATTAAGTGTCTAATATTTTCATAAACCAATTTTAACTTACTGGTTCAACTTATGAGTTATCTGAAACTCCAGATAACATGAAAATTAGTATTTTCTTAGCTATAACTCACTGTGGTGCTCAAAAAGAGAATAATGGAATTTTAAAGATGATTTGAAATAACTGTGACTTTAA